ATTAATTTATTACAAATCACTTGTGTAAAAATAATTAAAATACCAATTTCTATTATTTTTCTCGTACTATAAAATTTTACACTAAAATTCACAATATTAATTATAAATATATTTTCAATTAAATAATTTATTTTACATTTTCATTTATTTAATATTAAATTTTATTAATTTCCTATCAAATAAAAATAAAGATAAATTCAAAATAAGCAAAAGAAAAAAAAAACTCATTTAGAGTGCCGATCGGAGATAAATGATGGTGAAGATGACCTTATATGTCAAAATTTATAAATTATTTATATAAAAGTAAATAAAATACAAAGTTTTATTATTTTTTCTACACCATAAAATTTTATACCATACTTATAATTATACAAATTATATATCTACACAAACAACATCAATTTTACAATATTATTTAATCAAAATTACATTTTATTAATTTCCTAAAAAATGCAGAAAAATTCAACAAAACATCGAAAAAAAAAAAAACACACTTAGGGTGTAGATCGGAGATGAATGATGGTCAGAATGACCTTAGATTGCAAGATCCTAGTTGAAAGTGCTGGATTTCAAGAAAAAAATTGTGAAAATGCTGAAAAAAAAAATAAATAAGGGGATTGATTTCCGGCATCTAACCTACCGGAAAATCACCCTTACCTTTGTAGACAGCAAGTAGTAATGGAGAAAGAAACAGGTGCAGAAAATGGTGAAAAAAGGGAGGAAAATGAGAAACTGAAATGGGAAACGGGCGAAGGGATGAGGAAGAAGAGAATCTGCAGACTGCAATTTTTTTGGACCAACAATGGTCGGAAAATGGGTCAAAAGCTGACCTAGCGTCATCTCAAAATAGATGCACGTTGGGCCATAATTTTCAGGCCATTAACAGTCCGAAAAATGCAGATTATTGCCAATAATCCAAGCCAAAACTGGTTTGGAAAAATTGTTGTAGGGGCAACCATTTTTCTGTAACTAATTCAGACCAAAGTTGGTCTGGAAAAAGTGTCAAAAGCTGGCCCATTGTCATGTCACAGCAGAGCAAATATTCTGCACATAATTTGGTCCGGATATCTAATTTTCTGCATATAATCCAGACCGAAGCTGGTCCGGATATACCCAATAAAATTGCTTCATCTGTCAAAAAATGGTATGAAATTACTCCACCATTTTTCAGACCATTCTTGGTCTGAAAATTTAAAAAGTAAAAAATCCAACGGTGCAAATCACCTTGTTTTTTGGTTGAAAATATTCAGACCATAGTCGGTCTGAATCTTTTTCACGCATTTTACTGTACTCCCGCCAATTATTTTCAGACTGTTTGTGGTTTGAATATAATCTATTCAGTTGGTGCCACCTACCAATAAATATCTAGACCAATTTTGGTATGAATAAAATATTTTTCAGACCATTTTTTGTCAATCTGAATTATGTCGATTTGAACATCTAAAATTTCTTGTAGTGAAACAACTCTTCTATGATCTCACTTCCAAATTGCTGCACATCATGGTGCTCTCAAATCCAAATCTACACTCGTTAGCCATATGCAGTACTAAGGGTTTTTTCATTAATGCTTCTAGTCTTGCAGTGGTGAAAAACCCGTCGTGTCTTATCAATGCTCCTAGCTCTTCCACTGATGTTATATAAATGGGCAAATTGGAAGAATTTATTTTTTTTCTCAATCTTTTTATGTAAAGTAATAATAATTCATTACATAAATTTGTCAGCACTAAATCCTAGGGCTGGGCACGCACATAGGCAACTGATTGGTTGCCTTACAACCGCACAAAAATTTGACTTATGGTGCAGGCACAAATGGGCTTTAGGCACAAATGGGCTTCAGGCCCAAGGAAACGGCTTCGGCTTCAACCATTCATAATCAGTGTGGTGTTCAGTTCCAAGCCCAAGAACCGAACAAGCGATTAATAAACTCGAAAACCCATATCATTTTCCAAGAAAGTATAAAACATATACATTCTAAAACACAAACCCTAATTTTTTCATTCATTCCCTCCCTTCCTCCTATGAAAATTTTCATCTACCGCCTCATATCCTCCACCATCTGGATTCTTCGCCAAAACCTTTCCCCCCACCCCAATTTGGAAATATTCAACCATTCCCTCTAATTTTTGAATGGAATACTCATCTTTAATCTCTCATATTTCCTTCTCACTTCATTTTCACTTTTTTTTTCTCACTTATTCTCTTCATTCGCTCCCTTTGGACCCTTTCACAGTCAGCCAAGATCTCATCCTCTCTTTACTGTAAACTCTCTTCATCATCCATCTCTAACCCTAATCTACTTTGCTTTAATCTGCAATGCATCACCAAAATTTGAAATCAAAGCCCTAAGATCTCGTCTCTTTCTCTCTCCATATGGCTTTCGACTCCTCTCAATCCTGCCTCTAATTAATCTAATCTAGTAAGTTCTTGTGGATCCTTTCTCTCTCTCTCTCTCTCTCTCTCTCTCTCTCTCTGTTTCCTTTCAAGCTCTTCCTATGGATTTTAATTCAGTTATGGATTAGCTTTGGTTTTGGATTGGTTTTTTTTATCAAATCAGCTCTTTGATTCAGGACAGTCTCAGTTCGTGGAGTCAGTTTAATTTGTGGGTTCTACTCACGAACCAAACCACTCATCTCTCCCCCCTTCCACTCCATCTCTTGCCTTCTATTTCTCTGCTCTCTTCATCATTGTAATTTCTTGATCAAAAGCAGAGGTAATATTTCGAGTAGTGAAGAGAGGTGGCTAGATAGGGAAGTAATGGGAAATCATTGAATCTATTGTCAAAAGGGAGTTTCGTTCCCAAAGGGGAATTTACCAGAGATAGAATTTGCAGTTATTTCAACACCATTCTACTTTCTTCATCAGTGTGATCCTTCTTTCGCTGGTGACATATCCTTGTTGGTGGCGTGGTGCAAGTAAAATCCTTAACTCTTTCTCTACCCTTTTAGAGTTTTTCTCCTCATGATCGTATGTATTTTCAAAAATTGAAAGATCCAGAGAAAAAGTGAATCAGTGTTTTGATTTCTTCATGAAATTGAATTCATTAGTGAGAACAATGTGTGTTTGTATCTGTTTTTCACTCGTTATAATGCTATGAATTTTTTTTAATTTAAAAATATAAATAATCAAATCCTCTCTTTCAAGGAAAGCATAATCATCTTATGTTGACTGATTTTTAATGTTTTATGTGTTGATATTTGGGTTCTAGTGGTTTAAATTTATTACAATAAAATCAGGCTTTAGTAGTTTTTGTTGCTTTTGCAGGCTACAGCAGTGGACAAACTGGCTTTCTTTTTGAATTCCTAAGGTGAATTTGGATGGAATTAATCATTCCAAAAAAAAGAAAAGAAAAAGAAATTGGATGGAATTAATTGTTGACTTGCATAATTAAACTTATTTCTTGATTTACTTCTATTCATATTTATGGTAGATTTTAATGCACGTATAGAGAAGCGGCTGGCTTGTATTAATTTGTGGAAATTTTTGGATTGAGCTTGAAAGTTGAAGTGCAGTCTCAATTGTTAGAAAATTAAAATTCTTTTTAGTATGTTGTTTGTAATGCTTATAATTACAATTCCTAACCTTTATATCTAATTGGTCGTAGACTTGCATTATTCTATCCTATTACCACATTCAAGATTTAAGATATCAAGATGGAGATTGACCACTTAAATGGAATTAACCTAGTTGTGAGTTTTAATTTAGTGAATTTGATTATTTTCTTATTAATTAGTGAATCTGGTTAATATTTTACAATTTTTCTTGAATTAATCATGTAAATTTTGACCCTTTTGGTACAGAACATGAGTAATGTAGCTAATGTTGATGTATTAATGGTAGACAGTGCTACTAGGTTGCACAACAATGATGGTGAGGGTGAGAATCCTGGAAAGAAAAGAAAAGGTATACAAAAAAGGTCAAAGGTATGGCTAAGCTTCACTGCATTTAATGATCCAATTACTGGTAAACAAGAAGCAACCTGTAATTATTGTGGAAAGGTGTTATGCGCTGAACTTAGGAGAAATGGTACTTTTACCATGAATAGTCATGTTGAATGTTGTTTGAAAAATCTTAGTAATTTAAAGAATAACACACTATCGAAGTATGTTAGTAAAGTAGATGGAAGTAAAACAGTGATTAATTTAGGGACTTGGAAGTTTGATGGAAGTGCAGTGAAGAGAGCATTGGCTGAAATGTTATTTATTGTTGAACACTCTTTTAGCTTAGTTGAAAAATTAGGTTTTAAGAGGATTTGTGAATTAGTATTGCCACCAACATTCAAAATTCCATCAAGGAGAACCATAACTAGAGAATGTTATGATATCTGTGTAGAACATAGAATTACCCTAAAAAATTTCTTCAAACAATTGAATCTAAGATCTTCATTAACCATTGACACTTCGACTAGTTTACAAAGAATCACTTATATGAGCTTAACTACTCATTTCATTGATGATAAGTGGAAGTTACATAAGAAAATACTTTGTTTCTGTCTTGTTGATAGCCATAAAGGAGATGAGTTGGGAGATCTTCTTTTTAGATGTTTGAATGATTGAGGGTTAGAGAAAACTTATGCATTAACTGTTGATAATGGATCAGCAAATGATGGACTTGTGAGGGTTTTAAAAGATGCAATAAACAAATGGGGAACTGCTATTTTTCATGGCAAAGACATTCACATGAGATGTGCAGCCCACATCATAAACTTGGTTGTTGGTGAGGGTGCCAAAGAGAAAGGGATGAACAAGTCTATAACTACCATTAGGGCTGCAGTCAAATATGTTAGGCAAAGTCCTATGAGGTTAAAGAGATTTAAGAACGCTTGTGAGTGGGCAGAAATTGAATCCAAAAAGCTATTGTGTTTGGACATCCAAACGAGGTGGAATTCACTTTATTTGATGATGGACACTGCTAAGAGGTTTGAGGAAGCTTTTGAGAGGTCAGTCATATTTTATTTTATTTGTCTTTTCTGTTTTTAATAGTTTTTAGTTAGAAATCTTAACTATTTATCTAATGGTTGCATTTTTTGTTTTTAAGATATGCAAGACAAGACCCAAACATGAAGAATGAGTTGAATGATGGCCCTGATGCTCCTAGATTCCTTTCTTGCATAGATTGGGAAAATGTAAGAAGATTAATCAAATTTCTACATCATTTTTATGAGTTGACGAGGATGATCTCTAGAACCTTGTATACTACCAGCAATTTATATTTTCTCGAGCTTAGTGAGGTAATATATTTTCGTTTATAAGTTATACTTCATTTCAATTAAATAATAAGTTATAGATCTTTCTAAATTATTTTACTTTTAGGTTGATCATATACTTAAAAAATGGGAATGGGATGTGGATCTTCATGATCTTGCTGGTAGAATGAGGAAAAAGTACAAAAAGTATTGGGGGAATCCAAGGGAGATGAACAAAAACATTTTCTTTGCAGTGGTGTTGGATCCAAGGTATAAGATGGATTATTTGGAGTATTTAATAATAAAGATGTTTGGTTGTAAACCTGATGGTGAACCTAATGATGATGGGCCTCTTTATGTTGCCATGGTCAAACGTGAGATGGGAATGCTGTTTGAAGAATACAAGAGGTTGAATTCCTCTACTGTGAAATCAAGTTACTGCCAATCGTTTGATGAAGAAAGAAACAGCTCTACCTCTGCAACCAATAGTCAAAGTGTGGCAAATCCAAAAAATAGAGTGCAAAGATCCCAAGTGAGGTATGATTACAAGAAGTTTAAAGCTGCCTATTTTCATCCCAAGTTTAGAGAAAGGTAATATATTGTATACAACATGTTTCTTTTCAATTCAATTATTTATTTAATTATGCAATTGAGAAAATTTTAACCATGAAACTGTTTTTTTTTTTTTTAATGGATTTTACAGAGTTTGATAAGCTTCATTTGGATTCAAGAATGGTGGATTTATAAATGGTAAGGCACAAGGTAAATTCCTAAACAATTTTTAATTATGTTAACTTAATGCAATTAAGTAATTAAGTTAGCATTGAGGTAAGTTTTTTTAGTCATTTCTTTCGCTTATTTATAATTTCAACTAACTAATTTTTATTTTTGCTAATTGTCCTAGATACAAGTGCACCAGCATTTTTTTTATTAACTTAAGATCAGATGATGCTGTGGGTTCTGGTTGCATTGTGTATAACGCGTTTTTTTGTCATGTGCTATTGGCTAGACAAGTTTTCTTTTGGACAAACAAGTTCTTTTTTTTTTTGGATAAGCAAGTTTCTTTTGGACAAACAGACTTTCTTTTAGACAGTTTCAAAGTTATTGAGAGATGGCAATTTGACATAACATGCAACTTGTGTTAAGGAAGAATGGTGATTTCTGAACTTAAGTCATTTGGTAGTCAACATCAATAGTTGATTAGTTTAGCTGATGTTTATATTATAACTTAGGCTTAGTACTTCGTTGCTACTTTAATTTGTTTTAGTATTTAAACAACAAAGTTTGTACTTTAGTAATAGCTTGTGATAATGTGATGCCATGTAGGAACTTAATGAAATATATGATATTTCTAATTCCAATTAGTACTCTATTATTGGTTTTTTTTTTTTCAATTGGTTTTACTTATTTAATGTACTTGCTATGTTATGTTGTTTAAAGATCCTCTTTTTTTTTTTTTTCTGTTTTAAGGTAGAGATTTTGTAAATTAAGATGACTTTGCTAAAATTAATTGGATTGATGCTGTAGAGATATTATCGGTTTATACATTCTATTAAGTTGTCAAAAAAAGTTGAATTTTTTTTGCCTAAAATTCTATTTTTTTTTATAACTTCTAAATTTCTTATGTTTTATTTTTGGATAGAAAAATGATTGGTACTGGTACACCCTCGGTTCAATACATTTTTTGACACACTCTCAGTTTAGTCATAAAAATATAATATAAATACAGTCAATTCAACCAGTTCTTGTATCATGTGTGCATGATTGTATCATTTGTGCATGATTGTATCATTAAACATGTCTGTCTTTAATTTCAAACTAAAAATAGTGATTTTTTAATGAATGTGTCATGCAGTGTGTTGAACCGGAGTGTGTACCAATCACTGTCCTTTTGAATATTATATGATTAGTTTTCATGTTTTGTTGGAAGCGAATATGTTTATGTTGAGTTGTTTCTTTTAGATTGTTTGTTGGAGTTTTGTTTCGAGTTTGATAGGTAAATTGGTTTTTAATTTGCTAAGTCCCAAATACATTTTATTGTTATCAATTTTTATTATTTCTCTTTTGAGAGTGTATTTCTTGTATAGTTATATGGCATTTTGTAGTCTTTCTCAATTCTCAATATTTTCAATTATTCATGCTATGATTCTTTATTGCAATTTGAATGCAAAAGTGAATGGTTCAAAATATGGCTTGAAAGTTTATGGTTAATGTTTGAAACTTTAGAATTTTTTATTCATTTTTGTATGCAGCAAATTTGCCACCCCCCATCCACATAGATAAAATTGTCTTTTGATATTTTGTTGTCTTACTTAGAAATTTTTTCTTTTAATGGAAAAGTCTTGCTTAGATTTTAAAATGGGCTTCTTTTTTTTTTTTTTTTTTTTTTGATGAATCAAAAAGTTTAGTATAAAAAGAGTACAAGGGGTACTCACCCATACATTACAAAAAAACCACCAACAAGGTTTTAGAAATCCACTGCACAATAGGTTTGGAATTGACACCAGTCCACAAAACTAAACTTAGCAGAGGTGCAATTACCTTTGATCCAACTGAAAGTTTTAGTCTGGACTAAGTCAAGTTGCCTATTTTCATCCCAAGATTGTTTGCCAAAAACAATATTGTTTTTATTGAGCCAAATGGCCCAAGCAATTGTTGAAATTGTAAGTTTCCAATAGCTTCTTACTTTCCTGGGGATTTGCAACGAGCTGAGTTGATGGAGCATTGCTGAAGCATTATCAGGGGAAACGAAAGAATATCCCCACCAATGGCAAATTCTACTCCATAGGTGTTGGGACCATCTACACTCGGCAAAGATGTGGTTTGCTTCCTCCAAATGTGTGCCGCAGAAAACACAATCTAGATTAGCTATTTGGTTCACTCCTGTGATGAGCAAGTTTTCTTTAGTAGGGAGGCGGTTTAGGAAAAGGCACCAGATTAGAAAGCTAACCTTTGAAGGCATCAATGGATTCCAAATCAAGCTGCAGTTGTTTTTATCAAGGCAAGGAGAGGAGATATCAAGAAAATTATAGGCTAGCTTTGTTGAATACCTAGATGAGTTGTGAATCCAATTAAAACTGTCTGGCTTATTGCCAGGTATGTCAATGGCTTGTAAAATATTTTCAACCCACATGTATTCATCCAACTCTCTCCCAAATGGTGCATGACGCCATTTAAGATGCCATCCCTCGCCTTTTGTTGATTTATAATCAGCAACGAATGCCTCTCTATCAAGGGACAAGTTATATAAGCAAGGAAATTCTTGTTTGAAGGGAGTAGTTCCCAGCCATATATCTGTCCAGAACCTAATTTTTGTTACTTCACCAATCTATCTTTGAAATCCCTCCATGAAGCACATTTTTTCTCTTTCACTTTCCTTGTCAATTGATAGGATATCTTTCTAAAATGTAGAAATTTTAGAAGAAGTATAGTTTGAGATAAAAGCATTGTAATCCCCTTCATAATATTTGCAGACAATTACTTTTTTCCACAATTTATTATTCTCATCAACAGTATGAAATTTGCTCCACCATTTGCCCAAGAGAGCTGTGTTTCTATTTGCTAAATTTGGGATACCTAGAGCACCTTTGGTTTTTGCAAGACATACTTTTTCCCAATTTACCTAAGCAATTTTTTTGGAATCATCTGAAACCCCCACCCCCCACATGAATTTTTTTTTAATTTTGACAAGCTCATTGAGAATACCTTTAGGAACCTTAAATAGTGAGAAATAAAAAAGAGGGAAAGCAGAGAGTACCAATGTTAGAAGCGTGAGATGCCCTCTAGTTGATAAGAGCTTGCCCTTCTAAGTTACCAATTTAGACCGAAACTTCTCCACCACTAGTTTCCAAAAGCCAATATGATGTGGATTGACACCAATTGGAAGTCCAAGATAAGTAAAAGGCAAGTTCCCATGTTTATAATTCAAAGCTAGAGCTACCATATCAATCCACTTGTCATCCACATTGACCCCATATAGAATGCTTTTTTTGAAGTTAATTTTAAGCCCTGACATGATCTCGAACCATCTCATAATGAACTTTATTGCCCTGATAGAATTCGCGAAGGCCTCGCTGAGTAGGGTTGTGTCATCAGCAAATTGTAAGTGGGAGACAGAGGTGTTGTCATTAATGGTGACCCCTTTGAAGAGATTTCTTCTTTCTGCCTCGATAATAAAAGCATGGAGCCCTTCAGCAACAATTATAAAAAGATAAGGTGAGAGAGGATCACCTTGCCTTAATCCCCTTTGCATACTGTATTCCTTAGTCGAGCTACCATTCACAAGGACAGAGATAGTAGCTAAAGATAAACACTCCTTTATCCAGTTACGCCATTTTTTACCAAACCCCAACATTGTTTGCATTGTGTCCAGATAGCTCCAGTCAACAGAGTCAAAAGCTTTTTCAAAATTAGCCTTAAAGATGAAGCTCTTCATTTTCTTGACTTTCATATCATGCACAAGCTCATTTAGAACCAAAACACTATCTATAAGGTGTCTTGCTTCCATGAACGCAAATTGACTTGTACTTATCACCTTACTAATCACTTTCTAAAGCTTATTTGCAAGTACTTTGGCCAGGATTTTGTAAAGGCAACCAACTAGACTTATCAATCTAAATTCTTTCAGTGAAGTAGGATTCTTTATCTTGGGAATCAGAGTAATGCAAGAGGCATTCAAACCTTTGACTAATTTCCCGTTCTTGTGGAGCTCTTTTATGAAATTAGTGACATCTCCTTCAATTGTGCTCCAAATTGATTTGATGAAGTGAAAATTTTAACCGTCAAGTCTTGGTGCTTTATCACAAGCACAAGAGGAAACTGCTTCTTTGCTCTCTTCTTCACTAAATTCTGCCTCCAGCATGTCCCTATCTTCCTTGTTTAGTTTGGCAAATTGTAAACTATCTAAGGGTACCTAAAGTTGGGGTTGACTAGAGAATTGACTCTTGAAGCGTTCCATTATTATTTGTTTGACTTGCTCTGGGTCATCAATCCAGGAATCCTGTTTAGAAATTCCACGAAGCAGATTCTTTTTCTTTCTCCCATTGACAAATCTATGGAAGAAACCCATGTTTGCATCTCCTTCTTTTATCCATGTGGCTCTGGATTTTTGCCTCCAAAGGCTCTCTTTCTTCTTTATACAGTGCTAGAGTTCAGCAAATCCTTCCTTCCTATTGAGTAAGTCTTCCTCTATAGGGTCTTTATGTTCACACTTAGAATCCACAATTTCCACTTTCTTAATAGCCTTTTCCAATTGTTTGTCAATGCTACCAAACACCTCCTCGTTCCATTTCTTAAGGTGCTGTTTTAGATGCTTAAGTCTCTATTTGCATTTGAATCCCCAATATCCATCTATCTCATAAGAGCTCCACTGTTTCTCAATCATCGATCTGAAATCAGGATGCAAAGTCCAACTGTTGATGGATTTAAAAGTTTTTGGGCCCCAATCATTGTGACTGGAACTTAAACTAATAGGGCAGTGGTCACTAATACTTCTTTTTATTGCTAGTTAGACACTATTACCCCATATCTCTTTGTAATTTTTTGAAAGTAAGAATCTATCTAATCTACTATGTGCTGTTCCGTCACTCTTATACCAAGTAAATTTCCCATTTGATAGAGGTAAGTCTACAAGATTGTTTTCTTCAATGAACAAGTTGAAATCATTAGAGCCAAGTTGAGATGTCATCTTACCTCTTCTTTCATGCATGCCTCGGACACAATTGAAATCACCTCCTATACAAAAAGAGCCACATCAGCCACCAATTTGAGATGAGATATCACTCCATAGCTTTGCTCGGCCAGCTACATTGCAAGGTCCATAAATATTTAGGAAACAACATTTATATTTCTTTTCACCCCACAGGCCTTCAATGCCTATAAAGCCTTCACCATCAAATACATCTGTTTTCTATAATAGGTTTGGGTCCCAAATGCAGATAAGGCCACCCGCTTTGCCATTGGAGCCTTTTGCACACTAATCAAACTCGTTTTGCCCCCAAATTGACCTACAAACTGATTCATCAACAATCTCTACTTTTGTCTCTTGGATCATCAAAAAATCGATTTGCTCCTTACCAACCATACTCTTTATTTGTTTGCGCTTGGTATGATTACCAAGCCCACGGACATTAAAAGACACGATCTTCATAGATTTGGATGTTCTGGTAGTTATGTAAGAACGAGACTTAGGGTAGATGATGCCCCAAATGATGTTCCTCCATCTCACGAAATCTTGATGCAAATGCCTCCTCTTTTCCCATAAAGCAAATCCCTAGCCTCCTGCCAAACTCAATAAAGCTTCCAATGTCCATTTCCTCCACTTCCTTTGTTGTCAATTTATTCCTCTTCTCTATAAAGCTATCTGAGAAGGGAGATCTAAAAAAGGCTACCCTATTCTTCTTACCCTGCTTTTGCTTGGTTGGTTTCTTCCTTATTCCTCATTGTAGCCCTGTGATGAACTGGAGATTTTTAGGTTGCTCGAATTCTATTTCTGGAGATGTGGGACGAGGTGTATCAGAAAGGTGGTTCGGTGAATATTCTGGGCATACTTGGGCCACTGGATAGTCTGGGTATGCTTGGGTGGAGGAGTTTTTTAGGTCTAAGTTTTAGGTTCGGTAGGTGTGGGTTTGTTGTGAATGATTTGGGTTAAGATGGTCTTTTGGATTTGCGTCTTCAAGTTCAAAATCTGTAGAGGGTGAGGGGAGGACAGGTTATAAGTGTCGCAACCATTTTCTGACACAAAGCCTTCTATACTTTTTTCTTTCACTCTCCATATGCTTGCTGTAGCTGTATCCAAAGCAATTTTCATATTGGGGCTGGCGACGTCAAAATGTGATAGCATTTTTGCAACCAACGGTTCTTTTTCAAAATCCTGTGGTTTGTCAACCTCTTCATCGGAGTAGAAGCACTAGCTACAAGAATTCTGATCAGAATCCTCGTCAGAAAAATTTTCAAAGTTGAATTCATCGCTGTCATAGATCTTTGCTGCTTTCAACCACCAAGGATTTGTTCGCCATCTTTTTTCTAATATGTTCATAGAATGAAGGTGGTTCTGGATTTTTATTTGGATTACTCCATTAATTTGGTTTGCATCGGAGGTGATTATTAGGATTCTAGCTACATCTAAGCAATCTTTGTTGAGAGTGAATTGATCTATCTTTATGAAGGAACCCAAGAAGTTCCCAATTTTTTCTAAAGCTTTTTGGTTCCAGGCATGCAAGGGAAGGCCAGTGATTCTAATCCATGCTAACCTCTGTTTGGCAACGTTACATGGGCCCCATAGTTTAACTCTACCAAACCATTTGCTCCATTGAGCCCTTTCGTTTTCAATGAACTTTGTAACCTGACTCTTTTCTTCTAAATGAATTAGAACTTTACAACCCCCCATTGGTGTGATCTTGAATGTAGTGAATCCATTCTCCCATAGTTCCTATTGAAGGCCAGGTATAAGACTTAGGCAGTAAACATCACCCGTAGCACAATTTGCAACCCAGCTTGAATCCACAATGTCATCTTCTAGCTCCAGAATGGAGTTTTTAGCTTTCCTCCCTATCTTGTGTTCTTCAAGTTAGGCCTTAATTTTGCTCATGAGTTTGCTTATTTGGATGGAGTAATTTGGAGGATTTAGGCCATTTAAAAAGGCTTCTGCAAAAGATCTTGACTTTAAGGTTTCTAGGGTGGTGGGGGAGGAAGGCTGTGGGGTGGTCTTTGATTTGCTTGTTTTGGTTCCCTGTCAGTGGCTATGGTGACTCTAATCTTCTCAGTTCCAAAACATATCATTTTGAGCATTTTCTCCAATTTGCTCTTATCTTTGACATCTAAATACCTCACAAATCCGAATCTGTTGCCTTTCCTATCCTTCTTCTTAAGAATGAACACATCCACAATTCTTCCTAATCCAGGCCGTATGTTTCAAACAGATACCATAGTTGTTTGGGAGACCAATTCTCAAGAAAGTTTGTGAAGAGATAAGAGGTAGCTTTTCTCAGAAGTCCACGATCATACATTAGCAATCTAGAAAGTAAAGATCTCTCACCTGTTGGTGCGGTCTTGCCTCTTGTCGTTGGCCCTTACTGTTGCTCCTTGCTGCTTCTACTTTTACTGTTCATCTTCTCTCTCTGAATCATTTAGGTTTTATTAAGGTCAAATTATTGAAACAAGTCCTTAACTGCTATGCGTTTAAAATGGAGCTTCTTTAGTTTTGCATAGTTTACAATCATCTTGTGTTAAGTTTGTTATGTTGATAGCCTTGAGGGTTGAGTCCGTGATGAACCCTCTTTGATGAGCCATCAACCATATGTTGTAGGAAATTGGACAAAATTGAACAATTTTTTATGCCTTTTGTTGGACTTATGAAATTTGCTGGTTTGCTACTTTGGATATTTGGTCCAAATAAGTTGGATCATAAAATTAAAGAAAATGAATCACAAAACATTCGTTGGATATTTGGGCCACAAAATGAAAGGCCCAAACCCAAAAAAGTAGTTAAAGCTTAAGGCTAGAATTGATTAAAATTGAGACCGATGTCAATCGAACTAAATAATTTGGTCATCAAACTGAATAACCAAAATATTATTCGGTTTGATTTTTGATTATCATCTCTCAAAATAATTAATCAATTAAAACCATTAATTCGGGTTCAATTCCAACCAAACCAAGCCGATGTCCACCCTTGCTAAATCCTTACATCCATCGAACAAGCCAATTAAAAGCACTCATGTAGAGTTAATACTCCCTCCAACTCTTATCTTGGGATTGAAAATTTAGAAACAATTTCTTATTTTATTTATTTGATTTAAAAGAATAAAAATAAAGAGATTTTTTTTATAACAAAATAGATAATTAAAATTAAAAGATAATCATAATATTAAAGTAAAAAGAAATATGTCTCTCTTAAAATATAGAAAAATGATTATTATTCTAAGAAAAATTTTAAATAAAAAAAGTCTATTATTCTAATATAAAGAAAGTAAAAAATGTTTGTTATGTTATGAGAATTTGTGGTCATATGATTTTTTTTTTTTTTGATTTTTTTAATGAGTTTTCTCATATGATTAAAAGGTAATTGTATCACAAATACCTCATTTATCATATCTAACCATATGTCTAGGTTGGGGGAATGAAAGCGGGTGGAAGGGAGGAGGAATTGTATGCTTCCATTTCCTTCCACTCTTTTCCCCTCATTTAGAAAAAAAAAAAAAAAATTTTTAAAAAAGAGAAATTTCCCCTCCCCTTCACTCCAAAAATTTCCCCTTTCCTCCGCTCTCTTCTATTCAGACAATAATCTAAGGGTTGAAGAAATTGTTCATTTTATAGCTCTTACATGATTGAGGGCTTTAAAGTTCAAACAGATCCATCGGCTGAGAATTATGCTGGGCCAACATGAGCCCAATTTGTTCTAAGATAAAAAGAGTTCACAACGAATGTTATGACCGTTATGCCCTCACTTAAACGTTAAATTGACAAAGGACTACTTTGTCGTCCCAACGCCTTTACTCTCTCCCTGTAAACTCCCTTCTTTCTCTTCCACTTCATCCTCGGAAAACATGCCCAAGCCCTAACTTTCTCGCACTTTCCCGAGAAAGTTTTCGCTTGGAAATTCATCTGTAAAATATCGAAGGCAAAGTGACGATGTCTGATTCAGATCCATCGAAGAAAGTCGCCGATAGGTATCTCAAGCGCGAGGTTCTCGGTGAAGGTACCTATGGTGTCGTCTACAAAGCAATTGATACTAAGGTAACCCTAACACTTATCTCTTGAATGCGGAAACATCAGTATTCCAATTGAAAGATAGTTTTTTTATTTCTTTTTCATCGTTGTTTTTCTCTGGTTTCCAGAAAGGATACTGGGGTTGTTTGTTTTATGAGTTGTTGGTTGGATTTTAGGTGTAGAACAGGTGGAGAGGTATAGTGCATTTACTGAAATAGGGTTCAACTTTTATGGAGGAGTTTGGATTTTGATTTATTTAAGTAGTTATTGTTTGCGTCTTTTGTCCTTTGTAGACTGGGCATACGGTTGCAATTAAGAAAATTCGGCTTGGGAAGCAAAAGGAAGGGATCAATTTTACTGCGCTTAGAGAAATTAAACTGCTCAAAGAGCTTAAAGATCCGAATATAATTGAGTTGATAGAAGCATTTCCTCACAAGGGCAACTTGCATCTTGTGTTTGAGTTTATGGAGACTGATCTTGAAGCTGTGATCCGTGACCGGAACATAGTCCTTTCTCCGGCTGACATAAAATCTTACCTTCAGATGACCTTGAAAGGACTTGCTTTTTGTCACAAGAAATGGGTTTTGCACAGGTATTGCTTTTTTCAGTCTGTTTGGTAAGTTCTTGCTAAACTTTACTCTAAATGGTAATACTTGCTACTTGATTTGCAGGGATATGAAGCCAAATAACTTGTTAATAGGGCCTAATGGACAGCTTAAACTAGCAGATTTTGGTTTAGCACGTATATTTGGAAGCCCAGATCGCAAGTTTACTCATCAGGTATGATTCTTCACTGTTTCCTCTGTCCTTATTGTCATTTTAGGCATACTTGTGAACTGACTGATTTATAGTTAAGAGTTATTGAATCTATAATGTCTCTTGTTAAACCTTCAGTTGGTTTATAAAATATATAAAAGCTTTAGTTTCTGTTGGAAACAGGCTTACCCTGAAGCGGAACAAACTGAGTGAGCTATTCAACTTTAATTCCCTTGTCTTTGTAGTTTCAAGATCTTGTTTCATAGTTTTGATTTGATTAGTAGTGCTTCTCAAGGCAACATGCATAGTACTTTTTATATGCAAGCATTAGTTGATACCTTGATTTTTACAATTGTTAGTAATGGCATAATGCTTTACTGCTGTAGTGGAAATTACTCTAATTGTATTTTAAATTTTCACAGATATTGCTTTGTCTGTAGCATGCCTCGATTTGGTTCATGGCAATGCTTCTAGTGAGTCCTTTCTGCATTTTCTTGTGTTTGGCATCCTGAAATATAATAAAAAATGGTCAATGGGAGTGGACTTGCTGTCAACAGAAACACATAAAAGATACTCTGGGAAAGAATTTGTTGATGATTTAAAATTTTGATCCCCATAAAATATTGGCTAGTTTAGAAAAGGTCCCTTGAGTTTTGTAAAATTAGACTCACACTTTCATATTTTGCCAAACTTACCACATCCCCCTATTAAAGTGATTGGTATTAGTTAGGAGCCAGAAAATTTTTTTGGAGTGGCAAAATGAAACTTCCATTAAGAAATGGTGCATTAGTGCCTCTATTAAAAGTTGACACGGCTGAAAATTTTAAAAAGAAAATTATTTTAAATAATATTTTTTAGTTTTTGCTGATAAATTAGAAGTATAATTAAAGGACAAATAAACATAGATTTAGTAGAAGAATATTAATGAATAAGATAGGGAAATTAAAAGGCTATTAATGAACAAACACTTGTGAAAGGATGATGATGAACAACTTTGCATTCTTTTCTTATATTTCATAAATCTTGATTTTTCTCTTTCTCATCATCACCGAAAGGAATGTTCAATAATAAAAAAATAGAAAAAAAAAGACTAAAATAGAATGAAATTAAAAAAATAGATGGAAGAAAATGATTGAAATAAAACTTAAGGGATTATAACTATTTTCTGCCAGCAGTGTCAGTCAACTAATGTAAATCTGGAGGTGTATGTAATTAAACTATAATGTAAATCTTTAATTATGTTTGTGTATGTATATATATACATGAGACAGAGGGAAGAAGATCTCGATCAAACTTATCTATCTTCATATGTGTATAATTTGTCTTTTGGTTTATGCTGTGGAATTTATTTTCCTGATCAGGCTCATGCTTTCTTTGTTATATAGATATGATGAATGGATTGGAAGTTACTTTGGACAATTGTAATGTTCCCTCAGTTGGTTTTGGGATGCTTATTTTCTTTGATTCTTTTCCTTTCTCAGTGGTTGCTCTAAACTTGCTCATAATATATTGCTGTTTAACAAAAAAAATGCTCATAATATAGAGCTTGGCTTGCTCATTTTCACTATACGTAGGTCTTTGCTCGTTGGTATAGAGCTCCAGAGTTGCTGTTTGGTACCAAGCAATATGGTGCTGGTGTGGATGTTTGGGCTGCTGCCTGTATATTTGCAGAACTTCTTCTTCGCCGACCATTTCTACAAGTTAGTATTTGCCACTGTAGTTACTGTTTCTTTTAAACAAATATTCTGCTTTTGTAGCCTGAGAGTTAGCTTCATGGTAATTACAGTTTAAGCAGTTAATATTCAATCTAAGGTTTAGTCAGCTTAATTTTAACTCTCAACAGATGGTGTGATGAAAGAATGCTAGATTTCATTCTGAGGTTTCTGCTTTGATAGCAAGTCTCTGCTGAAACTTTTGACCACACTATGCCTTTAACCTTTAAATACAGTAGAGCTTTCAAAGTTCAAACTGATAATCATTGTCTCTTGTTTAACCATAGATAATTCTATTCTCTATTGAATCATCAGGTATCTCCCCTTTTTGTTTCTTATTTTTGTCTTGCTTCAAGCTCTTTCTTGTTGCATCTTTAGAACCTGACTTTTCCCCTAACATGAATTTTTTATATAGGGCAGGAATTATTTATTATTCTGGATCGTCAGTGACTCAGTGGGATTCATTTTTCATTTGCTGGTGTAATTGTAATTTTTTTTGTTTAGATGGAAATGGTTTGTATATATTTCACCTTCATTTGATCTAGCATTTAAATATGTTAAACTAGATAGTCATTTTGTTGAGCTTCTCTGATTTATACCTTGCTAATCATTTCTTTTCTATTGAGTCCTGGTATATCTGATTCATTTCTTGATTCAATATTAAACATCTGGCAGGGGACAAGTGACATCGATCAATTAGGAAAGATCTTTGCTGCTTTTGGGACACCAACTAGTTCTCAGTGGCCAGACCTGGTATATCTACCTGATTATGTGGAATACCAATATGTTCCTGCACCACCATTGCGCCAATTGTTTCCAGGAGTAAGTGATGATGCTCTAGATTTGTTGTCAAAGATGTTTACCTATGACCCCAAAGCTAG